CATTGGGAAGCAAGTGCAGACTTGTTGGCCTGCTGCTGCTGTCCTCGAACCAATTCACATAAAAATAATTCGGAGGCAGCATATACACATGAGACATGGAAGCAATAATTAGCATCCCAAAAGGATAGCACTTCAGGTGCAGAATAAGAACTGGAATTAATTAAAGAAGGGCATGAGATAGTCGAGAACATTGTATGTTATATTTTCTGAGGTGCACCATGATTACCTAAGTATCATTTTATCCTATGAAACATAAAAACAAAATGTTTTGGATAAGCAGTGTTTAAATGGCACCACACCTATGCAAATGAGGGCTGAATGGCAGAGCATATTAAAGAAGGGCATGGATAGCTTTGAACCCTGTATGGTATCTTTTTTGAGGTGTACCATAATTACCTAAGTACTATTTTATCCTAGGAAACAGAAAAAAGAAAATGGCTAGACATAGGTAAGTCATTCATAGAATCGACACGTTACAGATATCATAAAAGAATCAGCAGCAATAGCAGCAATCTTGCAAATCATGAAGGGAAATAATATGTGGTGTTTAAATAGCACCACACCTATGCATATGAGGATTGAATGGCAGAGCAGATTAGCAAACAGTAATTATAGCTCTCTCTCATTACTATTAAGTGAATAATGAACTAAAAGTAAAGATTGATCATGAAAGCTATATCAGAAAAGAAAACACGCTAGCCACCTTGCTGACATCACAGAAATGAATCTAAAAGCACATGATGAGGATAGGGAACATCTCAGAAGACTCTTTTGCCGATGGGGAAGTTTAGGCACAGAAACTTACATTGTCTTTGTTCGTACGTGTTGCTAGCAGGGAGCAAACATGCTTCCTCAGTTCTCCAGTTCCTTAATAAAAAAAGCATGGGATATTTAGTGTTCCTTATGGGAGAAGGACCAACACAGTTATGCAGATATTGATGGTCATAAATTGCATTTGGTGTAACTGAAGGAACCATTTAGCAAGTGCACCCAGGTATCTTTCTCTGAGGTGAGCCCAATGAAAAACTAAATATCTATACCTATGTTTTAGTGGCTTTGTACCATCGAAGCAGTTTACTTGAACTGAAAAAATGGGATGGGTTGTAAAAAAAATTGTAACCTGAACATCTCACATGATTGAGGCTAAATATTGTATGAATATATGTTTCATAATCTCAGCTTATCTTCCTCTAAAATATTTTATCTGCCGTGTGTAAACTTAAGTATATTAAGCCAGCATGCATCTCCTATGAACCAAGTAATCTGATGCGCTATTTTAACTTGAAGTAAAGCATTCGTCATGATCTACCCAAAAGCACACATGATAGGGACTGCATGTTCTATGGAAGACTGAAATATGGTAGACTGAAATTTTATGTTAATCCACCCACATGATATGATCTCCAGGGAATAGGTTTCATCAATCATTAATATGGGATTGGAGACTAGAGCACTAGGAGATTTTCTCACACATCATCTATTTAGACTGAAAATGTACGAGACTTCCCTGGAACCCTAAAACTTGGCTAAGTTTTGCCAAAGCTATACTGCTAAAGAAGGTTATGTACTCTTGTCACACAACAAGTGGCTCTGGTGTGCAAACCTTGAACTACCAATTGTTTGGCAGTAGGATTTGTATAATCTTTTGAATGGCTACAGATTAAGAATAACCTTTGAATCCGCAGCTAGAAAAAAAAATCAGCAGTATAGCTACCACTAGAAATTCAACGATAACAAAGTAAGCAACGTGCAGGCCCAAACTTGCATTCTGAAAGTCTGGGTACTCACGAAATCCAGGCATATCATTTAAGAGTACAAGACACTGATTTTCATTATCATAAGGCTTGCTAACCGTGCTCTAGGTGAGTAGGTGACATACACCGCAAAACTATAGAAGTGTTAGATGTTGGCATGAAGAAGGATGCAACCAAATTATCAGTTAGCTGACAGGACACAGGAGAGTATCAAAGAAAAGAAGATAACTCTCTTTAGAGATTTACAACAATGATAATTCATATTTAGAACTAAATACTGGCCAATATGCATGCCCCATGCTTTGCGGTAAACTATCTGTAGGGCATATTTTCTATAGAAGATGTGGCAGAAAGAGAAACACAAACATCCATGCAGCATACATTTCAGATCAGCTACCAACAAGTATGGTAGTGGGACAATGTTGGAAATCATAAAATGCCAAGCAAGTTATGCCACAAATGTCAAAGTTTGTCTTTCCACAAGAGCTGTACAGCAGTGGCTACAATGCTACATGGCACTGGTATAACAGCTTCATACACAAGAAAGAAAGAAATACTCAGATCTGATATTTTTACAACAAGGAGACATGTATGCATTTCAATAGTTTCGAAACTAACTTATAATTCTACCTGCAGCTTAAAGTTCAATTGATTCCCTTCTCTGTCTTTTTATATAGAACAGTCACATAATGTTTTTTTTGCATAAAGGACCAAAGTAAAAAGACTATGAATTCCCATCAATGTAAACTATGCCTTCATATACTATAAATAAGTTGCAGATCGAGCATTAGAAAACTTACATGCAACCTGATTGATTGTGTTGTGTACAAGATCTTGAATTCTGTTGGTTCCTCTGCAAAATCAACTAAGGCAGTAAACATCACATCTAAATCGAGCCTTCTACAAAGAGGGGAAGAGAGGGCGGCTCTAGATTGAATGAAAGTTTGGCAGGAGAAGTAACCCAAACCTTGAATCTTTCTAGCCTTTCTCACCTTCATCTACTCCTTTATACAACCAAGAAAAAAAATACAAGAAATTAAGCTGTGGCGAAACCCTAGCACTCAGGGGAATGGGGATGAGAGGAAGGGGATCCGGAGATGACGCACCTGGATGCGGAGAGGAATGGGGATGCAACGGCGGCACCGCTCTTGCTGGCCGGCGGTAGGCTAGGGCGACAACGGGCTTGGGGGCGACCGACTTGCGCGGTCGTAGGTTGGGGCAACTGGGGTTGGGGCGGCGGTGCCCGTTGGATTCGACGGCGGGGCTAGGGCTGTAGGCTGCGGGGCTCCGTCCAGGGATGACTTCGGCGCGGGCGGGATTGGGAGGCGGTGATTTGGGCGGGCGTCAGGGGCAGCGGCCGCGCCGGGTGCTAGCCTCCGGCACCGGCTCCTGGAGGTGCCCGGCAGCGGAGCCCCGCTAGCGGCGAAGCTGTGGTGGCGGCACCCGGTGTCAGAGCTGTGCTGGTGGCACTCGGCGGCTGCGCCCTCACAAGAGCGAGGATTTTCTTTTTTTCTGAAGTCTGCGTGAGTGGAAAGGGGGTAAGGAACGAAGGGTGGGCAGCCTGTTTTAGTGGCTTAGCCTTTTTCCGATAAAAAAGAATATTTAGCCATTTAGCTCCCGCGCATGGTTTTGTTTTGGCGCGCTGTCTCCCGCCCACACAGGCATCTCTATTTTGCTTCGGGGCCTACCCCTTTGCCGACACTTGGACAGTGGTTTAGGTAGGATACAACGACACTTTTTTTGTCTAAAAACTTTCACCAACACTTTATGTGTTGGAAGGAGAAACGCCGACATATAAGTTGTAGCCTTACATTACTATTGCCGACAATTTAAGTGACGCTAAAAAGGTAAAGAATTGCCAACACATTATGTGTTGCCAAAACCCTTGATTTACCAACACATAATTGTAGGGAAAGGTGGGTTGTGGTGTAGTGTACGGCCACCTACTCTAAATGTGATCACACTCTCTATAGTGTCTTGATCAACGAAACAAAATTCCTCTTTATACCTTTGCCTTGATCTCTATAGGGTTTTGTTTTTCTCTTTCTTCTTTTTTAAGTTGAGCACTTGATCATCATGACATGTGGCCATCTAGTCATTTCATGTGATCAACATCACTATTTGAGTGCCACCATGCTCCTCACTTGGATTGCACCAACCTAGATCATATCACAACTCATGACAAATGTTAGTGCTAGGTTTCATCAATTATCCAAAACCAAACTAGGGCTTTCATCCTGGTAACAGTCAAACTTCCTCAAAAGTTTCCCATCACAATCTTTAATCATGGTTTCTTGCAAACCAATGAAATGAAAAGAATATTGCTAAATAAGACTCTTAAGATAAGTAGACATCCTAAGACCTCTACAGTTCCAAATCAAGCCTTGTAGCGTCATTTTTAACCGATTTGATAGTTTTGGAAGAGGTAACCTTGCGAGGCCTCCCTCTTCTGCGTTTATCAAGTCAGGACTTTCCTGATCTTGTCGTTCCCCCTTGCTGCTTGGGGAGATTTTGATATTTTTCATTTTTCCCTTTTTTTTTCTTTCTAGATTCAACCAAGATGAAGTCATCTGACTCAGATGATTTATCATGGATCCAAATCAGATCCAAATTTTTATTATCTCTAGGATCCTCCTCAACTGTCTCAGTTTGAGGGGCAGAAACTTTATCACATTGTTTTTGATATAGATTATTTCTTGCCTGTTCTAGATCTTTTAGTATGTCAAATGTATCAAAATCAGTAGCATCTAGAATGACACCCATATCAGCAGTAACAGTTATAATATCTTCAACAGGTAATGCAGAAAATGAGTTATAATTTGAAGTGTTACCTTCAAGGTTCCTTTTCTTAGCCATTCTTTCATTCTTCTCCATTGTCGTAACAGCAGTATCCTTCTTAAGCCTCACTTCAACGTCTCTCCGGAGTTTGCTGAGATATCATTGATTGGTTGTTCTTTTGACCAGGATCAGAAGTATCATCATTGACTTGCAGTTCATTAGACTTGTCAGAAACATTCACTTCTCCCCCCACACTCTCTTGGGTGTTAACGATGTGGTCGTCAGGGATAAAAAAATGGAATGTTTCTTAGATACAAAATGTTTATTAGAGGACGGACATATGAAATGGGAACTTGAAATAAAAGCAGCAGCCGTAGAGTAGAGCATCAGGCTTCAGGCACCGCTGTTTGTCAGAGAAGTGTGTAGCTAACAATGCAGACGTACGCTTAATTGGTGGTTTACTTTCAGGCGATCCCAGACCCTCGGAGGCACGAGCTGAGATTCCACGAGCCTCCCGGGGCAGACGCCATGGCCGCCGCGCACCCGGAGCTGCTGCACAAGTACCACCATGGCCGTTTCGAGCTCGGCATTGGGCAATCCATGGTGAGTGAGAGTTGTTATTTGTAGCAATGACAGTACAATACAGAACGTAGCAGTTCGTAACTGTAATAAGCTGTTATTAATAAGTTCCAACGACATTGGCTGCCTGTAACTGATGATGAAGGTGTTTAACAACAACGCCATTGCTGACCATCAGAGTTATGGCGCTGCGTACTATCCCTTCTACGGAGCCCAAGCTTTGGTACGTACATGAACGTCGTATATACCATCTTCGTTCACACAGATCCTTGTTAGTTGGCTTCTCAAGACTCAAGTAGGAGGAGTAATGATCTACCTACTTGTGTTGACTCGTTTCACCATATATATTATATATTTGCAATTAAATGATGAAGCACGGGAGGGTGCTCCTGCCGCCAGCGATCGCGGCCGAGGAGCCGGTGTACGTGAACGCCAAGCAATTCAACGGCATCCTCCGGCGGCGCCTGGCGCGCGCCAAGCTTATGGCCGCCAGGGACCGCCGGGTCTCCGGGAACCGCAAGACATACCTGCACGAGTCACGGCACCTGCACGCGCTGCGCCGGGCGCGGGGCACAGGCGGCCGCTTCCTCAACACCCGGAGCCTTGACAGCAACCCGCACAAGCCGCCGCCCGAGGGCAGCGCTGCCAGCACGGCGAAGGCGGCGGCGAGGCTGCAGCAGCAGGAGCGGCAGGCGGACGCCTTGTTCCTCTCGTCGCTGGTGAACATGGCGGGCGGCGACGGCGACGGCGGCGAGGCCACCAAGTGGTCCGGCGGCGCGCCGTCGCTGGGCTGCTGCGACCTGCTCAAGGCGTGACGGCGGCGGGTGGGCGGGAAGAGAGCCCTCGCCGTTGCCTGGCGGACGGTGTGGTTCTCTAGGACGTACGGCAACTCATTCTTGGCTCCTGGGTCCCAGGTGTGTAGTGTGTGGTGCCCAGTGCCCAGCGAGATGCAGAGCAGCTCCTTGTTGTGCACCAATGCAAACCAAGGCGAGCTGCTGCTACATTGTTTCAGTGTGCATGTAAAAACCGCAAGTTCGTTTGATGCAGAGTTGCAGACGCTAACTTATTCATGTTTCAAAGATCTCTCGTCCTGTTTGATGCATGAGATGGACAGTTGTGTGCACTGATGAGTGTGATGACTAAACGGCCATACTCCCAAGGCATTCAAGCACGTTTGGACGCCGGCCTCACATCTATCTATTAACCAGAAAACTCCAACACTAATGTCCTGCCGCTGACTGAGCATGACATAAATTGCAATCTCAAATGAAACTGCAAACTAGCTTATCCAATCGAACACAGCCACCACTTTAATGCCACAACCAAAATCCAAAATATGGTCTTTTCCTTTTTCGATGAAGGTTTTAGTCTTAAGACATTCTACAACAGGTTGTTTCTGCACAATAAGCCCAAAACAAGCAAATGATACTGACAAATCCCAGGCCATCTCAAGCCACACAACTGAATTAAGAGCCTGTCACTGCTGCATATCACTGATCGAATGAAATCAGCTAAGAGCCTAAGAATGAAACATATGATGCGGAACAGGAGCTGCATCAACTGAACTTCCTGAAACAGGGCATACTTCCCTAGTTGATCATATTCAGAAAAACCAATCAAGAGCCCCTGCATCAACTGAACTTCCTGAAACAGGGCATACTGCTGCATATGTTGGCAACACAGAAAAACCAATCAAGGGCCTGTTTACACCAGAATTTGGAGGAAGGATTTTAGAGGCTTCGAAGCTCCCAAAACCATGTCGGCAAGAGATCAATTGCGTGTAGATCGAAAACAGCTGATTCGGATGCAGCACTAGAATCGACTTTTTTCAGATATCGCCAGCGGATAACGACAGAAGCTATGATCAACGCTGGGACGAGACATGCTGGACTCTACAAAAAGAGAAATATTAGAGTTCAAGTTATCTTAAATTAGGAATGTTTTCATTTTTATGTCAAAGATTATAACAAATCGTGCTCGAGTAGGATTCATGTCTAGACTCCAGGAATAAATATCAAACCCCGGCTATTGTAAAGAACACACAATCAATCAAATACAAGTCAATTTACTTTTTCGCCTCCCGCCACCCCTTAGGAGTAGGAGTAGAGTAGATCTCGGCGAGTTCTTCAGCGAGTACGGCTGCATCGATCCGGTTGACCTCCACTGCTCGTCTGTAAGTACCGTCATAGTTTATACCTCTGTTCGTATGGCTGCATCGATCCGGTCAACCCTCACTGCGACTCTGGTATAGGCTAGTTATCGACTCTTGCCTAGTTCAAGTATGGCCTGTGTGATTCTGTCTCACGCCCCACTGCTTGAACTAGACCAAGGTCAAGTTATCGACTCTACCTTTGAATGACAGTCTCTGGTAGATTCATTAAGTTACCGATATTGCTTATTGCTTTCATTGTTTATCTAATTACAACAATATCACTCTGTCCGATTGAGATTGATCTGGATCGGTTTTATATCTTATTTAACCAATCGTTTGCCAATCTAAAACTGATCTAATCTACACCTTAAACGATGAGTTATGTTTTTATCGGCTGTTTTATATCAATCTTAATCGTGCATAGCGTGCGGTTAAGGCATGTTCGATCTTGAGTAGATCTATCGGTTAGCGAGAACCGTTCTATGGCCCGTTATCATGGCCTGTGGGATTCTGCCTCTCACCCCACTGTTAGCGCCGTGGAGTGGGGATCGTTAGTTGATAGATCCGTTCCTGAGAAGGCATGACTTTAACTGTGCGCTATGCCTGAATTGGCTGTTTAGCCGATATCGAGCGCTTTCATGAACAGTTCACATTACGAGACCATTGAAGTAGAGATAAGTTGAAAGATATGTTAGCCCCATGATCTTATTATTGTATTACGGTCTACATGATTCTGCCTCATGCCCCATTGATATTAGTAATGAGTTAGGGTCGTCGAGTCTATTGTTGTTTCTACGGTCTGCATGATTCTGCCTCATGCCTCACTGGTCATGGCGATAGATAAGATCTAACATGTTTATTAGATTTATCTTTATTAAATGGTTAAGTGGTGTTGAATTGTTTCTTTATATAAAAGTGGTTCGGTTACTTATAATCATTGGCTCAGTTTAAACCGATCATCGTGGATATCTTATTGCCTTTGATTAATTCTTGCTCGAATTATGTTTATCCTGAATGATAACCGATTCTTCTTACACAACCCCATGAGCTTTAATCGATTTATTCTCATGAATATGCTGGAATTGACTATTTAGTCGATTTCCTCTCATATCGGCTCTCAGAGCCGCACATTCGGGACTGTCTGGTAATACCGACACGTTCCGCCCTTAATTACTGATAAGCTTTCTCTCCTTGTCAATTGCAGGGTCAAATTGACTGGCACGTCTTGGGAGGATTGCGCAGGATCGACCAGCCTTGCGCTGAAGCTAGGCGGATCTGCTCCATCGAGCGGACCCTTCCGGCTTGCTGCGTGTGTCCTCGGCATGGAGACAAAAATTCTGTGTCGACACACGTTTCTGGCACGCCCGGTGGGACACCACAATCGTCATGGCCGTTCACAACAACGACAACATCCTTATGGTACATTATGAAGACCTACCTGATGAAGATAAGGGTACCATCAACAAAGCTACAGAACAATTTCAGAAGAAGTGTTTGTTGTCCTACACCAAAACACGTGACAGCACCATTATTCAGAAATTTCCACTACCAAGAGTTCTACTACATGGACAGACAGATACAGTCGAAGCTAAAGAAAGACATTTCTTTACGGAAGCCATAGACAAATCTGTTCGTGATGCCCTATCAAGCCGCAATGAAGCTTTCGTTGACGCATTTCACAACGCCATGAAAGAGGCGATTCATGGAATTCCAGTTAGTCAGGTTGTATCGACTTGTTACAACATTCCAGATCCATTGACCCAAGGGACTAATCAAGTCGGTACCAGCCATCAAGAAGCAGCACCAGCTGGTAATGGTGACGTCCAGGCACTTCAAGGTTCATCTGAACAAACTCCAGGTACTACTACGAATCAGATACAGCACAATCCTAGACCGTCGATACAACATGTGCAACAGCCGACGGGGCAAAGTCAAAACTAGATGATTAATTTTGGCACATCAGGCCATATACCGTTGTCGGCTCAGAAGATAGCAGCAAGCCAGCGGAAGAACCAGCAGATTGAGATTCCACAAGGGTATCATTATGGCACAGATTATAACACTCTTCACATGATACCAAATCCAGGATATCAGGGCACACAGGATTTCAATCCACAGATGGGTCAGCAAGTACTAAGAAATCCAAATCCGCAAGCTGACGAGTTGCCGCTGAAGGTGACCGAGATGATGAAGAATCAATTCAGTCTGAAGCCAAAAGGGTTGACCTTTTCGTACAAACGCCCATACCCAGAGTGGTATGATTTGGTCGCTCTTCCTACAAATTACAGGCTCCCAGAGTTCGCCAAGTTCACTGGTCAAGACAGTACAAGCACAATAGAATATGTCAGTCGGTATCTTACACAATTGGGCGAAGCATCAGTTGAAGATGCCCATCGAGTTCGTTTCTTCTCCTTATTCCTGTTAGGGCCAGCCTTCACTTGGTTTTTGTCGCTGCCAGTCAACTCCATTGCCAATTGGGCTGACCTAGAAAAGAAGTTTCATACATATTTCTACACTGGGACTGGGGAAAAGAAGATAACCAATTTGACAACCATGAGACAGAGGACTAACGAATCGAGCACTGAGTTTCTTCAGAGATTCGGAGAGACTAGGAACTTGTGCTTCTCGTTGAGCTTGGCAGATGATCAGTTAGCTGCTTTAGCCATCCAAGGAATGTTGCCAATGTGGAAAGAAAAGCTGCTAGGACAATAATTTGACAACTTGGGTCAATTGGCTCAACGAGTAACAGTGCTCAATAGCCAATTCCAGAGTATACATAGAGATATCCGATTCTAGAAGAGTACCACAGTAGCCGAAGCTTATAATCCATATCCGATTGACGACGGCTATGAAGATGAAGAGGAAGAGGTTGCTGCAGCTGAATAGAATTAGGGCAAGAAGACAGTAATGGTGCCAAATCCTTGGGGAAGAGGAGCTGAGGAGAATTATGACTTTGATGTTACCAAATCGGACAAGCTCTTCGATTTCTTGCTTGAGAAAGGGTAGATCAAGTTGCCCGATGGTCATGTCATGTTGCCCCCTGATCAGTTGAAGAACAAGAAGTTCTGCAAATTCCATAATGCTACTTCTCATTCCACCAATGAATGCAAAATCTTCAGGCAACATATACAGAGAGCTATTCAGCAAGGGAGGCTCAAGTTCAATACGCCTCAGAAGATTAAAGTTGATGATAATCCTTTCCCAAGAGATTAAAATATGGTTGATGTTGGGTTATTCAAAGAAAAAACTAAGGTTCTAACATCGGCCAAATCAAGAGAAGCTGGAACAGTTGATCAAAAGATGCAAATATCGGCTGATGAGTATAGAGAGATTAGAAAACGTCGTGATCAGCAAAAGAGCCAATATGAACAGGGGAAGCATCAAAGGATGGAGCGACAAAGTCATGAGTTACATCTCGAATCTTGTTGAATAAGTGACAGCGGCAGAAGGAAAGGAATTATCAGCGATGGTTAGAGGATCAAGAATACCAGCGTCAACTAAAAGAAGAAAGGTATGAAAGAAAACAAGCCAAATTACATTGGATTTGCCCTTTCTTCAGATATTGCTGGAACGAAGGTTTGAAATTGCCTACTAGACACAACTGTCCAGAATGCAACAATCAATATTGGAAGTTTAGACAATCTCAAATCAAGCGCCGGTCTA